ACATCCAGGATCGGATTGCACAGCCACATGCGCGTCCACAGATGAGCTGCAGGATTTCATCGTCATCTTCGGCAGCGAAGGACTACCTACACACCCTAGAACTAGAATGACATAAGTCAGATGTGCTCAGTACCTAGTTTTGACATGGAGTGACATCAAGCGACGAGGGAAGGTGGAAAGTGTTTGTTCGTGGCTTATATTCTGATCCAGGGTGAGAAAGGCTATGGTGATGACCTAGTTTTGAGAAATTTTACGTCAAGGATTTTGATTTTCGCAACATGCCAAGTTTTTTTCGAATGTAATTCTTTGAATGTCTCGATAACGGCTAGGAGTAATCTTTCGATTTTGATAGAGCAGAAAAAACATAATTTGGTGTCTGACCCCATGGTCTTAATAACTGAAAACGTGCAAAAATGTCAGATAAGACTTTGTAATTCTGAGGTAGCAAAGTGTCTCTTTGCTGATGAGAGCATTCTATAGAACGACATGACTCATGACGTTTCACCCGCTGGGGCACCACTGCAGATTTTGCAACCAGCTTGTTGAACACCTCTCGGATCTCGGCTTTCTGCAGCACGAGGTTCCAGTTACGGCCAGTCTACTGGTTGATGTCACAGTGATACAGGCACGCCACACAATCATCTGGACTGGTCATGACTCTCCTACGATGAACAACGCCAGGAGAGAGAAAACGAGGCAGGCCGATGAAACGATGGGAAGACAATATCAACCTGCTACAACACCTTTTCACTTATTAAGTCATGAGGTCTTCATACGACCCGATGGTGTTACAAATTCCGTTTCTCTCTACGTCATTGGCCATGTGATCTGCGTACGTGAGATATGTCGAAACTTATTTATTAAACTAGCCGTATCGAATAAACCGGTTGTCCATCGGATCATCTGTGTTATCGAACAGACCCAAAGGAGGCCACGCTTGTGTTAAAGCAAGACGCTTTTTATTATTATGAATATCCTTTCCCCATATGTGTGCTCGTGGGGGAAACAAGCGAGAGGCAGGGTGAGTGTTAGTTAAGCCTGTGGACTGCTCACTCACGGCTCAATACCCAAGGACTGCTGCTATAGTATATTATAGTTATTGGAACGTTTGTTCCGGTCGATTCAGGGGTGTTTCTCCTATGTTATCTTCATCAATGACAGAGAACAGCTGTACGTGAACTTCCAATCCAGAGTAAAAAAGTGTTGACACATACAGTATCTGTACATGCGACGTGGAAATATACTTTGCTGGAATATACATAAACTAGAGAGCGAAACGGTCTGTAAATACAGCTGTTAACATGAAGTGTATAAAAGTTAATAGTGCTTATATTTATTATTTGATGTTTTGGAATATATAGTGTTAGAATATTGTACAGTGTTAGAATACACAATATAAGGATATACATTAATTTTGTAGAGTATATGTGATGGAGAAATATGGTGTAGGTAATGAATGGTGTGTTTGAATTTATAGTGTTAGAACAAAACCACATCAGAGAAGACATCGTTGGAACATACTGTGCTAGAAGATGCTGTCTAGGAATCTATTCTCCTACAAGTTACGATATTCCGTGTTGTTGTGACTGAGTGGAATTTCTGGAGTTGACAGAACGCCAATATTGTCAACAAGTCTAGAGGAGTTCAGTTTGCTAGTTCTGTGGCGTCATGGACGGACTTTCAGGTAAGGAGGCCATTTGGTCGCTTTTAAGGACAAGTGGGCTAACCCAGATTTCGAGGGTTTCCTGAAATCTTGACCTTCACCAAAATTGGGCATTGCCGTACCTATAAGAGAAGTTAAGTTTCACTGGTGTGTGTATTTGTTTGGTTATAGAGAGAAAACTGTCCTTGTCTTTTAAAGAAACTGAAAAAGGGTCCAAAAACTTTTCCTTCGATTATCTCGAAACAGCATTTTTCGGGATAGCCCCATTGCAATTAAAAACGACCATTTGAGGTACCAGTCACATCTAAATCATGTACATGTATTCTAGTGATCCCTTTTGTATTTATTTCGAAACTTCAAGATCTGATCAGGAATTGTATGTTCAGGACCAGTGCTCTGTTAGTATTTCATCAAAAGTACTCTAGCTTTGACTTTCAGAAGCGCCCCACGAATCCACTGGGATGGACTTCCACATCCGTAGGGGTCATGCACCCCCGAAACAAAACCCATGGCCCATAGGATGTGTGCTCGTTTGCCAGTAGTCTGTATTTTAGGTTCATGTAAAACCAAAGATAGTACATAACAAGATGGGCCACTCAGCCAAAAAAGTGTCCGCCGGAAGTTCGCTCTTTGCTTCAGATGGCGCTGCAGTCTGATTTGAAGCTCTCTTTCGTTTTTCCAGAAGAAGAATAGGAATAGCACCTCCTTGCGTGCACAGATCGACTGCTGTTCATCAGCAGTTCGGGTTCGTTCAGTGTGGAATTTTAGGTTTTTCATTTTAATGACCTCTCGCCTTTCATTCTAAAATCAAATTAAACGAAGAAAACAATCACCCTTTCCTCCGGAAGAGGTTTTTTTGTCAGCGCAACCATTTTAAAAAAGCGTTCTTCCGAAATTTATTAAAAAACTTGCTAGTTTCACTTTGATTTTTTAAAACTCAAGTAGGGTAACTCTGTTCGCAAAGCGTGCGCTTTTGCGAAGAGGGCGCCACCGAATTTTGAGGACACTTTTTTAATTGGCTCAAAGAGAGAAGTGGCCCCTCTTGTTATGTAGACTCTTTGCCCATACTAAGCCCTCGCCGTATTCCTGACTTCCCCATTTGCCGTTAAGGTTGGAGTCGTGGCAGGCCTTGT